GTGGCCAGTCCTCATGTGGCTCCAGAGCCGATCAGCGCAGACCCCCTCCCTTTCCTCCTCCTCCTCCCGCCCCCTCCCTTCTACTCTCCTCCAGCTCCTTTCATCGCTGGTCCATTCCCCTAATCCTGGCCCCCTCCTGTAATCCCCCCCATCCGACCCCAGGCCGGCTGCAGCTATTGTAAGGTGGAGAGAAAGGAGAGGGGGACTCGGAGAAAGGAGGGGGTGGGGGAGGGCCACCTGTTCCAAGACCCCCTCCTAAGGCCAGACTGGACACTGGGATGGGGCCATGGACAAATCACCGTTGGGGACCACAACGACCAGGGTATTGGGGGAAGGAAACTGGGGCTGCAGGACTAGTGGTGGGGGGTGGGGCAAAGACCCTCTCCCTCCAAAAAGACCCAGAGAGTCACGAATACACAGTGACACACACTCTCTCCTCACACCCGGCGGCAGGGGTTGCCCTGGGAGACCAGGCAGTGAAAGGGAACAATCCTTTGGGGAAAGGGGGAGGTGGGGAAGGGTCTGAGGGCTTGGACACAAGAAGAACCGGAGGTGGCAGGGAAGAGGATTTGGAATTTATTAAGGTCACAAGCACCCCTGCCTCCCATATTCAGCATTCCTGAGCCATACACTGCCACCTCTTTTGTAGCCTGGGAACTTGGAGTCCTCGTCAGCAGGAGGCCGCAGAGTGGTGGGGGGCGCGCAGAGTCCAGGGTCCTTGAGGCAGTTACATGAAGAGTCCTCCTGGGAGGGGCAGGAACATGTGGACAGATGCACAGGTGGAGACAGGTGGGTGGGGGCGCCCACCCTGCTCTGTCCCTGGCCCTTGGGAACTTCTGCCCTTCCTTCAGTGGCTCCAGACTCCCCTCACTGGCTCTCAGATCAGCCCTTTCCCTCCCAGGGCGGCCTCATACCAGTGACTTCCACTGAGGCCCCGGTGATGTATCCACTGTCGTCAGATGCCAAGAATGCGACCACATCTGCCACATCTACGGGAACAGTGAGGAGAGGGCAGCTCCTACGTACTCCCATGGACCCGAAGGAGCCATCATCTCTCACCAGAAACCCTCCCCCGGAAACAGAACCAACCATCAACCCTGTGAGACCCTCTCTGATACCACAGGCTGTGGGACCTGTTCACTCAGGGCCTCCCAGAGCCTCCCCTTCACTCAGCGCTCACCCTCAGGGTTCCCCAGGTGTCCCATCGGGATCATTCCAGTCACCTGTAAGGAAACACTCATGTGTGGCTCAAAGTTTCGTTTATGGATTTTTTTTTTTTGGAGATTGAGTCTGCGACCTTTTTTCTTCTGTCTTCATTCCTGTGCACATACTGATTTCCTACTTCTAGCCAGGTACTGTGTCCAGCATTCTCTCGCTCTCTCAAACCCAGAGAGGCTGGGCTCTGCACGGTTCTGCTCTCTGCCCTCCACCCATGGCCTACCTTGTCCAGCACTTTCTGTGGCACTTTCTGTGTCATGGGTGTTGCAATGAACCCTGGAAGGACAGAGTTACAGCGGATCCCATGTCTGTGGAAGGGAGAGCAGCTGCTGACTGTGGAGAGGACTGGACAATGGCCCTTCCCTCGGAGCTCCCACCTGCCTCCGCACAGTCCTCTGTACCCCCAGGTGTCTGACCGACCTGCCAAGTTCCCGGGCCACAGTGTGGGTCAGCCCAATCACGCCAGCCTTGGATGCTGAGTAGTTTGTTTGTCCCAGGTTCCCCACCTACAGGTGAGTCAGAGATGTGGGATGAATCAGGAGGCCCCAGGAGCAGCTCTCCTCTCTATGCCCTGACCTCATCCCAACTCAACCTGACCTTCCCTACGATGCTACTGATGTTGATGATGGAGCCATGACAACCACTGGACACCAGGGCTTGGGCTGCAGCCTGAGTGATGAGAAAGATACCCTAGTTGGGGGGAGGGGGAGGGGAAGAGTAACAAAGAAGGATCAGCTGGGGCGAGAGTCATCCTCCAACTCCCTTCCCAAGATAAAGGGGCCAGAAATCAGATTCAGAGTCACCACCTTGAGGTTGACAGCTATGACTTTGTCCCAGTCATCCTCAGACATGTGGAGCAGAAACTCATCCCTAGTAATGCCCGCACAGGACACGACGACAGACGGCGGGCGAGAAAAGCAGGCCTATGGAAGAGGGAGGTCACACACCAAAAACCATGGCGAGCCGGGGCGGTGGAGGCAGTGAGCGCTGAGGGGGGAGGTCGCCCGCGTTCACCTGCACTTGCTCCAGCAGGCGCCTGGCGGCCCCGGCCTCCGACACGTCAGCCTGGAAGGCAGCGTGGGCCCCACGGGGCGCCCCCTTCTCGCTCCCAGGCCCGCCCAGCAGCCGCACAGTCTCCCGTGCCGCTGCCCCGTCCAAGTCGCAGGCGGCCACGGCGGCCCCCTCTCGGGCTAGGCGCACACTGACGGCTCGGCCGATGCCGCTTCCCGCACCTGCGGGTGGAGAACACGCGGGCGTGGGTGCGGGAGGAACGGGCAGGGGTCAGAGGTTAACCGGCCGGTTAGTAAAATTCGGGCCAGCGGCTGCAGAGGCCGAGGGCACCCCAACCCGCCCTGAAAGAGGACCCCCTCAACCTGTGACCAGGGCCAGCGCTGAGCCGAGCCGGAGCGGAGTCGCCATGGCTGGCCGTGGGCGGGACCAGCCCGGAGCCAACCCGGGCGCAGCGGGGGCGTGGCGAGGGCAAAGCCTGGCCAATTGTAGCCGCGGCAGCTACAGGCCGCCGGCGGCCACCGACTGGAGCCGACCTCCCACCGCGGGGGCGTGGCCAGCCACTGCCACTTGGGGCCAAGAGGAGTGGGAAGATGAGGGGCCCACATTTCCCCCCAAAAGACAAAGAATGCATTTGGGGCGGAAGATCCGAGTACTTTATTTCCGGTCACCACCCCACCCCCTCGATTCAAACAGCGATATAAAAAATATTAGAAACAAAAATCAGGCAATGAGATTAGCAACTAAAGCCCCTCCCCTCCAAATCAAGACACACGATTGAAGTTTAGTAGATGTTTATCGCGACGCCTGCTGCCCCGACTCCCAGGGCTCTAGCCCTCCCTGCAGCCCCCACCCACAGGTGGGAGGGAGGGAGGAGGAGGACCTCGGGGAAATCTGTGTGTGGCAGCTTGGTTCTCTGAGAACAGGTGGGGTAGGAGACTCCGTAGGCCGCCATCAGTGGTCTCTTCCAGCCTTCTCCATGGCCCCATTTAGTGCCCCACACCCAACAACATGGTCAGCACATGCCCAACACGATGGTCCCTCTGGCCTCTCATACTCATCCCTACAGCTCCTATAAGACGGTCAAATCTTGCTGCTTTCATGCCAAAATCAGTACTTTCCTAGGAAACAACTCCTTCCTTTGGCAGATGAGTCTGGCCAGGCCCCCAACCTCCACAGACCCCAGACCCAGAGGACTGAGAGGCTAAAGGTTTGGGGCTGGGGTGGGGGCAGTTTATCCCACCTCTCACTCGAGGTGGGCAATCAGCACCATCATGACAACTCCCCCCAGCAGCCCCAGCACCTCCAGAAGTGACTGCAATGGTGAAGCCTCCTTCAACAGCTCAGGCAACACAGACACCGTTGCTACGTAGATAAAGCCACCTGCAGTGAATGGCAGAATCCAGCCAGGGCCTGTACCACCTGCAACTTCACTGCCCACTGCCCCTCCTTCAGTTAGGAGGGCACAGGCTGTGCCTGCCAGCGCCCCTATTGCCGTCAGTAGTTGCAGACACATTGCCTGGTGGGCAGAAAAGAGAGAGAGGCACTCAGCATCATCTAAAGATTATCGGTAGGTTAGACTTGGCTGGTAGGATATAGGTATATATGGATAGGGTGTGTATCTTTGGAAACAAAAGAGTATGATAAAGCCCTAGCTGGTTTGGCTCAGTGGTGTAGTGCTGCACTGCAGACTGAAGGGTTCCGGGTTCCAGTCAAGGACACATGCCCAGTAGGGGGCGTGTAGGAGGCAGCCAATCAATGATTCTCATCACTGATGTGTGTCTCTCTCTCTCTCTCTCTCTCTCTCTCTCTCTCCCTTCCTCTGAAATAAATAAAAAAATATTTTTAAAAAAAGAGTATGAAAGAGGGAATCTAGAATAAACACTTTCTGAAAAATCTTAGATATCAAAAAGGTCCTTTTCACAGACCTTTTGATTCAGTAATCCAGGGTGGGGAGTGTGGTCTGAAAGACCCCAATAAACCATTCAGATGGTTTATGGACCACAGTTCAAGAAATATTAAGCGCCCTGGCTTATGTGACTCAGTTGGCTGGAGTGCTGTCCTGTGCACGGAAAGGTTCTGGGTTCTATTCCTGGTCAGGACACATACCTAAGTTGCAGGTTTGGTCCCGGTTGGGACACGTTCAAAAGGCAACCAATCAATGTTTCTCTCTCTTTCCCTTTCTCTCTCTAAAAACAAAGAACATGTGCTCAGGTAAGGGCTTAAAAAAATACTAAGCTATAGAAAAAAGAAACCGAACTTCCCCTCATTTCTAGACTTATTGTCAATAACAGTATGACTTGTTTGAAACTAAGGAGAGGCAGACTTGGGTTTGGGGTGGATGAGCAGGGAGTAGAGGGTAGGAGGCACATCATCACCCACCTGCTTTTTGCTGCAGCCAGACTGGACCAAGATGGCAAAGTCCCCAACTTCGTGGGGCACTTCATGTAGCAGGACAGTCGTTGTGGTCAGGACCCCCAATCCCAAACCCCCTCGAAATGAAGCACCAATGGCCAGACCATCTGTGAAGTTGTGTGCCAGGTCAGCAGCCAGATTGAGGTACCCTGATACTCGGAGATCTTATACAGGAGGAAAGGAAGACAAAACAATTAGATGCTCCATCACCCCATCCCAGCCCTGGTCAGTCATTATCACATATTCCCCCAGAGAGGACTTCACAACCAATCCCTCCGTGTTTTCCAGACATCTGCCATTACCCACTGCACATGTTCCACCTGATTCATGATGATGTCCCTTGCCTAGGCTTATTACCAACTCTGGACCTCACCTGAACCTGTTTTTTCCTCTTCAGAATTCTGAGGTCTCACTGACCCATCTTTGGGCCTTGTGCCCCCTCCTCTCCGCTTCCTCAACCCCTCTGCTTCCTTTTCTTCTTCCTCTGAGTTCTGTTTCTCCTTTGCAGAACGCTCTGAGAGAAGGAAGGAGTTGATAAGAGTGGGGAACTCCCCTCCCACCTAAGGGCCATAAGATGAAGGGATTCTGAGGCAAGCGAGGTGGCTTGCAGTAAAGGTGTTCCTGGGCTTACCCTGTGTTCCATGTCCATGACTTCCGTGTGTGTGACCATGTCCATGAGTGTGTCCGTGTCCTCCTTTCACGTGTCTCACAAATTTCTCCACCACAAGAAAGGCGACAATTCCACTGAGGACCCACAGTCCCACTGACAAAATAGGGCCCTGGCCTGGGGATGGATGCATTGAGACATTAAGGGAGATGTGGGTTCCAGACTCCTCCTCAAGTATAGAAAAATTGGGAGGGATAGACCTTCCCCAGTTCCCCAATCCCTGTCTCCATCTTCCCCTTCCTCACCACTGTGGGAGTGTCCATGTCCCGGCTGCTCCTGAAGGTGGTGAGAATGAGGTTCTGAAAGAAGGGGGAGAAAAGGGCAGATGAGAAAATACCTGCCCCAAGCGGGGTATATTTGCAGAAATATTGGAAGGCCACAGATCACAAAGGGGAAAGAACCCTTTGCCCAAAGAACAAAATATATTAAGACTAGAGGCCCGGCACACAAAATTCACACACTGGGGGTGTGGGGAGGAGAAGGTCTCTCAGCCCGGCCTGCATCAGTCGGACATTCACCACTGCTGCTGCGCTCGCCAGCTGTGAGCCGGGCATCTGACTGAGCGGTGCGCCCCCTATGGGAGCGCAGACCATCAGGGGGCAGCTCCTGCGTTGAGTGTCTCCCCTGGTGGTCAGTGCACGTCATAGAGACTTGGTCGTTCTGCTGTTCGGTTGATTTGCATATTATCCTTTTATTATATAGGATTTGAGGTAGTGACTTGAAGTTACTTACCCAAGGCATGAGGGATGAGGTGCAGGAAAGCATCTCCCAGGAGCCCACCAGAAGCGAAACTGAGCAAGATCTGGAGCAGAGAGCGGTGCCGGGGGGAGTTTGACTCCACAGGGATAAGGAAGAGGACGAAAAATGGAGCTGCAGAGATCAGCACTGTGGCCCCCAGTGCCTGGTGAGGGAGAGTCAGGGGTCAAGTGTGCAGGATTTCCCAACAATCCAGAACCAGTCCCTCTCTCCCCCATCCCCTAGGGACTCACATAGGCCCAGAGAGTGACAGTATCCAGGTCCCGCTTGCTGCCTGGAACCTCCCCATAGCCTCCATGGCTGTGCTCATGGTCATGTCCATGTCCTCTGTGGTAGAGGCTCTCATGGGAGTGGCCATTGCTATGGTCATGATGCAAATCCTCATGCAAATGTTCGTGGTCGTGACCATGGGTATGCCCATGCCAGATGCTCTCGTGAGTGTGGCCATGGCCGTGGGCGTGGCTGTGTCCATGATGGAAATCCTCATGTGAGTGGCTGTGGCCATGGAAGTCTTCGTGCCGGTCCTCGTGCAGGTCGCCATGACCCCCGTGTCCGGCCACTAGCAGCCCCAGGGCCGCCCAGGTCAGCAGTCCCACGGCCACCCAGTGGGGGGCCCCCAGGCTTCTGGCCATCACGCTGACCAGAGGGACAGAAACAGTGACTCCGCTTGATCACCTCTATACCTGTGCGGGGTCCGCTTACTCCGCTCGCGCCCTCCGCGCCCGTCTACCAGCCGCTCCCCTATTCCATGTTGCCCCCACCCGCGCGCTTCCCAACTCGTTCTTTTTCTTCCGAACCTCCACCCGATTAGGGCCCGGGACACCGCTCTGAGCTCTGCTCCTCCACTTCACAGACTCTCTGGGCCCTCGTCTCTATGATGAGGTGGGGAAAGCCTGGGAAGGACGTGGGGAAAAGCGGGGAATGCTCACCAGCTCCGGGATCCGCTCCGCGCCAGGTCTACTCGGACGTGGCAGTCCCGCCTCCAGCTCCCGCGGGAACAGGAAGTCTCGTCTCTAGGTTCCAGTCCTTTACCAAGATGGCGGCGCCCGGCCCTGCCCCGGCGCGCATGCGCGGATGAGGAGGTTATTTGAGGGGAGGGTGGGCGAGGCCGGTTCCCGGGCCGGAGACCGCCTCCTCCGTTTTCAACGAGGCGAGGGGGCGGGAACTAGCACGGCGACTTCCCTTCTGTACCAAGATGGCTGCCACATCGGCGCTGTCATTTTGGTGCAGAGCAGCGAGAAGCGCTTAATTCGACCCGGTTCAGGCCAGAGTCTTTTTCTCTAGGGCTGCTTCGTGCTCGGCTGGCCCCGCAATCAACCCTTGGGGACCTCTGATACCTCTTCGGCATCCCGACACTCAGCCCGGAGTCATGTCTTGGGCCGCTCGCCCGCCCTTCCTCCCCCAGCGGCATGCCGCAGGGCAGTGTGGGCCGGTGGGGGTGCGAAAAGAAATGCATTGTGGGGTCGCGTCCCGGTGGCGGCGGCGACGGCCCTGGCTGGATCCTGCGGCGGCGGCGGCGGCGGCGGCAGCCGGAGAACAACAAACCCCGGAGCCGGAGCCGGGGGAGACTGGACGGGACGGGATGGGCGACAGCGGGCGGGGTGAGTGTCCAGCGAGCGGACCTGCGAGCCGGGGACCGCGCGCTCTGCACCCCTCCCCCTCCCTGGGTGCTCTTCCCCCGGCGCTCCCGCCCCCTTGTTTGTAAACACGCGTCCCCTCCCTCCCCAGGGCCTCAGCGCCCTCCCTCCGGGGCGGGGCGGGGAGGGGGAAGCTTCCGCCCTCCGGCCCCTGCGGTCCGAGGCCCCGCACACCGCCCTCCCCGGCAGGGGCCCCGGAGTCCTAGTTTGAGGATCCTGACTTTGGAGGGCGGGTCCTGCGTCCCGGGAGGGGTCTCTCCCGCTCAGGCCACGTTCAGGCCACGAGCTGGGAGTGGAGGGCTTAGCCCACGTGTTGCCCCACCCACCGGAGACCGGCTGGGGCGTCTGGCCTTGGGTGACCGAATACATTGCTTGGAGTTTTCCTCGCCTGAATCACCCTTCTCTCCTTTGTGAATCCCCTCCTGTCGCCACAATTAGGAGTTGAGCTGTTGTGTGATAACCGGTGTCTCTGGGCTTGGGAACGGGGTAGGTGTGTGGGGGGCAGGGAGCAGTGGAGGATTTGCAAGTCTTCAGTTGAATGATCGAAGACTCATTTTCTCTTTTTGTCTCTCCTGTCTGTGTGTCTTTGTGCCTCTGTGTACCCCTCCCTCAGACTCCCGAAGCCCAGACAGTTCCTCCCCAAATCCTCTTTCCCAGGGGGCCCCTCCCCATTCTCCTCCTGGGCCACCTCTACCCCCTTCAGCAGCCCCTTCCCTTGGAGGCTCTGGGGCCCCACCCCCACCCCCGATGCCACCCCCTCCCCTGGGCTCCCCCTTCCCTGTCATCAGCTCTTCCATGGGCTCCCCTGGCCTGCCCCCTCCAGCTCCCCCAGGATTCTCCGGGCCTGTCAGCAGTCCCCAGGTGAGAGGTTGTGACCCACATTCTGCCTCTCCACTTGCATTTCCTTGTTTTCCTTGTGACCCTAGATCCTTGTGTGAACTTCCCCATGACCCACTGACCTCCAGACCTCTAATTCTGGCAGGCCTGTTGTCCCTGTGAGATCCCCTGAGGTGACTGATCTTGCAGTGCATGTGTCCACCCCAACCCCAAAAGGAACCCCAATATTCCTGATGTCCCTTTCACCTGTCAGTGACTTTCTGCCCTTTTGGTCCCACCTGCCCTTCTGAGATACATACCTTTCAGGGCCACTGTGTTGCACTATCTCAAGGGACACTGTGTGTCTAGTCTCTGGGTTGTGCTCCAGGGCTGGCCCTCCCCGCAGACTGCAGTGTAACTGCTCTCCGGGATGTGCAATGCAGGGCCCTGCCGAGGTGTTAGGGCATGATTTCCATCGCCTCTGACTCCCTTTCCCAGTGAGTCTCCCCATGACCTCCCTATTTCCCCTATCCCAGATTAACTCAACAGTGTCGCTCCCTGGGGGTGGGTCTGGCCCCCCTGAAGATGTGAAGCCACCAGTCTTAGGGGTCCGGGGCCTGCACTGTCCACCCCCTCCAGGTGGCCCTGGGGCTGGCAAACGGCTATGTGCAATCTGCGGGGACCGAAGCTCAGGTATGGGGCTCAGAGGACCAGCAGACAGGAAGAGAGAGAGAGAGATATTATGTCTGCCACTGACCATCCCCTGTGGGATTCCCAGGGCCTCATGGGGTTTCTTTGGAGCAAGTAGCTGGGGGAGGCCCAGTGAGAGCTAAAGAACCTGAAGCTCAGACGGGATGGGGGGCGGTAGAGGGAAGGGTGGACTGGACCACCTCACGTCCTCGTTTCCAGCTCTGTGTGTGGCAAACACAGAGCAGACTTGGCATGAGACTTAATGGTGAGCGGTTTGCATGCAGCCTTGCTATTGCCATTCCCCTCCCCCTGTAGGCAAACACTATGGCGTTTACAGTTGCGAGGGCTGCAAAGGTTTCTTCAAGCGCACCATTCGCAAGGACCTGACCTACTCGTGCCGGGACAACAAGGACTGCACAGTGGACAAGCGCCAGCGGAACCGCTGTCAGTACTGCCGCTATCAGAAGTGCTTGGCCACTGGCATGAAGAGGGAAGGTAAGGGCCTGCCCACCCAGGCTTCCCAGTCTACCCTCTGGGAGAGGAGGGAGGAGGGAGGGGGAAGAGGGAAGGTTTAGGGAAGACGGGACTGTTTTCTCTCTCCTCCAGAGGGCGATATTTGATCTCTCTCTCCCTCATCAGCTCTTCTCCCCGAAACCCTCATCTGATCCCTTGAGTTTCCTTCCTAATGGTTCTGCCTCTGGCCTGTCCCTGTGACCCCTGCCTAGTCTGGTGTGAGGGTAGGCTCTTTCCTTACCCGTGATGGGCTCTCTGTGTCCCTCTCTAACCTGAATATCCCTTCCTCTCTTTGACCCAGTGCTCTCTCTCTGGTCTCTCCTCCAAACTCTGGGATTCCACTCTCTTAAGCTACAGAGTTTACTGAAGACCTCAGGGCACCTTCCCTTTTTAAATCTTACCTTCTTCGGTCTGACTCTGGAATTCTGAGAGACACCCTGTAGAGAGCATCTTGATCAAATCTCATTTTCGAGATGAGCCTAAGGCCTAGCTTCTCCACGGCCATGCAGTAAATGAGCGGTAGAGCTGCGATCAGAACTCACGTCTCTGAAGACCCGGGCCGGTGCTCCTTATACTGCCTCTGTGTTGAGTCAGAAGAGCACAGACTTTGCAGGCAGGCACTCTTGGATTCAGTTGTATGACTTACCATGTACTGTGTGAACTTGGGCATGCTATTTAACTTCTCTAGGCCGAAATTCTTCATCTTTAAAAATGGAGACAAGAGCCCTGGCCGGTGTTTCTCGGTGGTTAGAACATTGGCCTGCACTCCGAAGGGTCCACTGGTTCCATTCCCAGTCAAGGGCATGTACCTGTGTTGCAGGTTGGATCCCCACCCTAGATGGGGCGGGGCACGTGTGATCTAAGGAGTTAGGGAGGCAACTGATCAGTGTTTCTCCCTCCTCCCCCTCCCCCTCCCCCCTCTCCCCCTCCCTTCCTCCCTCTCCCCCTCCCCCTCCCTCTCCCCCTCCCTTCCTCCCTCTCCCCCTCCCTTCCTCCCTCTCTCTCAAAATCAATGGAAAAAATATCCTTGGGTGAGGATTAACAAAAAAAAAAAAACAAAAAAAGGAAAAGAGAAAAGGGAAAAAAAAATGGAGACAAGAACTCACAGGGTTGTTATAATAGAGTGAATGTTAAAATGTGCTTGGCCCTCATTTAAATGTTAGTTTTCTCCCTAATTCCTTTATCCACTCCTTCCATTCTCCTTCTTGGCTTATGTGCCCTTTTACAACCCCTGCTTCCAGACTGTCCCTAGTCTGTTATTTGTAGTGACTTCCCCAGTTCCTATAAATATCTCCTCAGGGCCATCAGATGCTGATAAGGCCCTAAGGACATTTCAGAACCTCCTCATGGCAGGCTGCTGACTTTCCACTTTTTGTCCTCCCTCCCCCCCACCAGCGGTACAGGAGGAGCGTCAACGGGGGAAGGACAAGGACGGGGATGGGGAGGGGGCTGGGGGAGCCCCCGAGGAGATGCCTGTGGACAGGATCCTGGAGGCAGAGCTTGCTGTGGAGCAGAAGAGTGACCAGGGCGTTGAGGGTCCTGGGGGAACCGGGGGTAGCGGCAGCAGCGTGAGTGATGGGGTCAATCCATTCTCCCTGATGGGGGTTGGGGAAGTGGGAGCCTAGGTCTGTCCTGCCTCCACCTCCCCTCCGTTCCCCTCACAACCCTCCTAACACTGTCTGGGACTGGAAGTGCTGCCAAACAAGGTCTCTTAAATGTCTGAGGTGGGTGTGATAGTGTCCTCTGTCCCACCCCCAGAACAACCCACTGGTTGGCAGAACCACAGCAAGTCCCAAATACATGTTTTCACAAATGCCAGAAGAAAAGCCTGACTTACAGGGGTCAGTTTAGATGGGGCTTGAAGAGATATACCACGTTGTAGGAGGGGGTATCAAAGTCTCTTACAAGGGGGCTCCCAGTGTACTTCTAAACCTCCCATAACTCTTACCCCCCACCCCCTGCAGCCAAACGACCCTGTGACTAACATCTGTCAGGCAGCTGACAAACAGCTATTCACGCTTGTTGAGTGGGCGAAGAGGATCCCACACTTTTCCTCCTTGCCTCTGGATGACCAGGTCATATTGCTACGGGCAGGTCAGTGACCTTGGATCCCTTTGACCTCTTGACATTTGACCCCTTTGACATGACCTTCAGTGACCCCAGTGCACACTTGCATACTCAGGGAGCCAAGCTCATTGACCTCGCCACCTTTCTTCTCTTCCCCTGGTGTGCTTTGAATCCCTTGGCCTGATCTCTGGCTCCTGGCCCTTGTTGCTCCCCGCCCAGGCTGGAATGAGCTCCTCATTGCCTCCTTCTCCCATCGATCCATTGATGTCCGAGATGGCATCCTCCTCGCCACAGGTCTTCACGTGCACCGCAACTCAGCCCATTCTGCAGGCGTGGGAGCCATCTTTGATCGGTCAGTGGCCCTCCGCTGGGCTGGCCTATAGGTAGAGGGGGTGGGGCTATAGGCTGGTCCGTGTCCAAGGCTGGCTGAGCTGTGACCTTTGAGTGACCTGCAGGTCCCTCTCCAGGGTGCTGACAGAGCTAGTGTCCAAAATGCGTGACATGAGGATGGACAAGACAGAGCTTGGCTGCCTGAGGGCAATCATTCTGTTCAATCCAGGTAAGAGGAGGTCATCCCATCTCTCAAGACCAAAGCAACCTTGGAGCCTCCTCTTCTCCGGAGACTCCTAAGTTACCCAGCTATCCCCTCAGTAAGACCCTCTGCCCGGAAATCTCCCAGATAACTAAGAACATCCCATATCCACGATGCATTCCCCTTCTGACCCCTCCCACAAACCCCATGTGCCCTGCTCCCTGACCAGGCATCTGGAGAAGGGCAAGTAGATGGGGCCCGGAAGGGAACAGCTATTCACGTGGGCCACATCTCCCCGTTTGTGCTGATGTGGTTGGCCTGCCTCCTCCTCCTTCCTCTCTTCCCTGCTGTTCCAGACGCCAAGGGCCTCTCCAACCCCAGTGAGGTGGAGGTCCTGCGGGAGAAAGTGTACGCATCACTGGAGACCTATTGCAAACAGAAGTACCCTGAGCAGCAGGGACGGTAAGAAGGAGTTGTGGGGGCGAGGGATTGTGGGGACTGAGGATCCCATGGGGTGGAGGTTGGGGGGCCACGGGTGTGTTCAGGGCCCATGCGATTGCACCTCTCACTCCCTTTCTCTCGCCGCCCCCCCCCAGGTTTGCCAAGCTGCTGCTACGTCTTCCTGCTCTCAGATCCATTGGCCTTAAGTGTCTAGAGCACCTGTTTTTCTTCAAGCTCATCGGTGACACCCCCATCGACACCTTCCTCATGGAGATGCTCGAGGCGCCCCACCAGCTGGCCTGAGCCCAGACACAGACGTGGTGCTTCCCGCACTTGAGGAGTGCACATCCGAGGGGGACGCCAAGCCTTGGGGCAGGGTGGGGAGGGCCGTGTGCCTGGAGTCTTGGTGGGGTGAGGACTAGGGAGCAGGACTGAGACCTCCAGGGGATCCATCAACCCTCCAAGGGGTTTGCTTGATATCCCAAGTCAGAGGGGACCCCAGGCCCTATGAGAGCTGGACCTCTTCCTTCAGTGGCCTCGGGCCTCTGAATTGGTCTGGGTCTGCCATGACTTGGGGTGAGTTCCCACCCCGCCTGGAATGATCTTCCCCAGCACAAAGCACTGGCCTCCTCCCAGGGCCTTGCTTCCTGTTCATCTTGCCTCACTTAGCTCCCTGTCTGGAGAGTGGATATGGGAACTCTCCCAGAGATGGATATTGGGGGGCAGGCCCCCCAAAGTGATGGACATGGGAGTAGGGCTCTGACAGGCCTTCCTCTAACCAAGCCTAGCAGCTCGGGGCTACTCTGTCACTGCCCCCTGTCCGGAGTCACCTCTCGCACGTCACCTCCTGCAGTCAGACTGAGAAATAAGGTGGTGGTGGTGAAGGGGTGGGTAGAGATGTAGGAGCCCATCTGCTATTTTTAATTTCCTCTGAGGATAGAGATTTACAGTTAGACTCAAAGAAGTACTGTACTTCCCCAGGTTGACTAAGATGCCAGTGGTGGAGGTGGAATGTGGGAAAGGCAGGGCCCCAAGACGGTGGCCCTGGGGCTCTTGAAGCCCTGGCCCTCTCAAGCCCTCGCCCATCTCTTCCCTTCTGACTGACAGGGACGGGGCCTGGGCTGCGATGGCAGGGCTTCCCTAGCCCTGGGCCAGGCGGGTGTTGAGGGGAGGTGGCCGGCCTGCAGAGATGGGGTGCGGGCCTGCAGAGATGGGGTGCCGGCCTGCAGAGATGGGGCGCCGGGGCTGCATGATTTTTCCCTGCAGCTCTTCTCTCTGGGGTTC